GGGGGGTCAGGGCTGTGAAGGAGGTCGGTCACTTATAGGGAGAGGGAACCTGAGGGGGGTCAGAGATTGTGGGGGGAAATCCACTAAGGTGACCGTGACATTACAGCCCAGAGGACCGTGTCCCGTGGCAGGGCCCCCTGAGGAGCCTGGTGAATGGGGACCTGGCACGGCACAGTGTCATGTTGAAGCAGGGGTCTGAGGTGCCCATGTCACTGCTTAGTAGTGAGCTAGGAATAAAAAGAAGCAGTGATGGGATCTCGCCCAGAGCCACAGCCTCCAGGTCTTCGCTGGCCCCAGGTGTTTGCATTTAAAAGCAGCACTAGTACCTGTGAGTTCCAATACCTAATAGCTTGGATTTTTAATTCAACTTTTATGTAAGGACTCGAGAGTTATAAAAAATGTATGTTCTGTGCTATGGAAACAACAGATGACAGCTTATCTCTTCCCCAATGCTGTTACAGCTCACTTAATACTTTTTTTTTTTTTAAAGCTGTGAACAGGCTTCTTCTGATGAGGTTATGAAACGAGTCTGTGTCATGGTTAAGTCCCACCCTGCTGCTCTGCTGCTGAGATAGGCCACCCATGATTTCATCCTGGGGCGTAGTGGGTGACTGATCTAACCCCCACCACATCCATCCAGCTGCATCTGAGGCACTTGCTGTTTCTGCTTATGAGACACTTCACCGGACAGATGAACTTAAAGTTTTCCAGACTCTTGACCACTAGAAAAGAAAGAAAGCTTTCTTCTTTCAATTTGTCTCAAGGAAGTCTATCAAAGGGGGATATGTGTATCTGTGATAAACTCCTTCCAGCTCTTGCTTTTTGAGTCCTGTCCAGAGGAGATAGGCTCCAGTAAAAAAGCTATTTGGCTACAGTAGTAAAATCAGATCGTGTCTATTAGTTTCCTTCCAGTGGAAATCAGTTTTTATACTTCCAAAACTGCCTGTACAAGAAATATATCAAAGAGCTATATACTTACAAATAATGAAAACATAAATCTGCAAAAGGCAGTGGCATGTCCTTGTAAGGCCTGTAAAGAAGAATGGCCATGCAGTAAAGGTATTGGCCTGCTGTAAGGTAGTAGGGATTTAGCCTTAGCTTTCTCACAGACTACTAGGATAACGTGACTTAATATCTCTTTTTGTTCTCCATCCGTGAAATGATTATAAGGTTTTTCTTCAGTGTTGGAATATAGGATAAATTTGCTAGGGCAGAGAAGATGCTGAAATAAGCACTACAGAAAAACTGATTAATCAATGTATCTTGTGGTTTTCCTTAATGAAAGCAAGGAAGCTGGGAGCATGTTGCAGTCTCTCTACAGCAGTTCTTATAACCTGCTGTTTTGAGGGCCTAAAGACCTTAGTGCAGTTCTTTCATATATATTTATTTATTTATGCTTGTTTGCAGTCAACCAGCTCCTGTTTTTTAACTACTGTGGGATTTAAATTTGACTACATTTTATTGTTAATTAGTAAGGAATCTGTCTCAAAACAGTTTTAATGCCTTTTGAATTAATGCTGTACAGTAATAATAAAACAAGTATTCTGTGAAAAAAGTAAGACAAATCACACAAGCAAATAACTGTAGCGGAAGAATTGGTCAGCAGCGGTCTAACTCAGTATTTCTCAAGAATTTCTTTCTTTCATTTTTGTTTGTTTTTTTTTTTAATTTTTGTTTCTTGTAGCCAAGGTGTAGATCCCCGTTCCGGAGATTTAACTATATTGACAATGGGCCTTTTTTTTCTTAATTATGTTTCATGGAAGTCTGAGAAACAGTCTGTGGCGCCCCAAATTAAAGAACCACTGCTCTGCCTGGAATGTTTTGGGTTGAGATGCTGCTTTTAGCCCAGTCTAACTGTCATGGGCAGCTAGGAATCTCTTTTTAAAGTGTAGGTGTCCCAGCAAGTACAAGGCTGGCTAAAAAACTGTTTGCAAGCATAGCACAGGCAAGAATAAGAGATTGTTTTTGGAGTGCCAGCATTTTCGGAGTGGTTTGGCTGAAATAACTGTCTCTTTAATCATATTTGATTTCTTCAGACAACAAAACCAAATGGCTTGTTGAAAAGAGAGAGTTATACTTCTTTATATTTGCAGGATAACATCATACTTGGACATAAGATATGGAAAACTGTGACTTGCTGAATGCTGTACAAGAAATCCCTTCAACTTCTGCAGACTCTGATGTCAGAAATACCCACAGCTCTGCCTGTAACTTGAATTCTAACAGGTGATACGCTAAAGGAAGTCCTAAAAAAATTTTTACATTTATTTTGTTTTGCGTATATAGTATACTTTTACAGTAACGTTATTACTAAGATGAAATCATCTGAAGTATATTTTAGGTTTTTTTTTTTACAATTGCAGGTATAACTTAATGCTTAATGTGACAATGAGATAAAAGTCTTACTGAAAGAAGTGTCATATCTTCCTTAAAAATGTCCATTGCCTTGCATCTCTTGAAACGAGGAGAAAAAAAAATATTGACTTGGAGAGGTTACAAGAGGTTGTTCTTTGGAAAGATCGTACGCTACGTTAAGTCATTTGTAGAGAACAGTGGCTCAGGAAAACTGAGTTGTTTTTCTCTTTGATGCCCAAGATATTCTCGGTGAATAAGAAAGGTAAATGTGGGTTAATGGCCTAAGTGACAGCTCGGGAGAGGTTCTCTTGACTGACCTATCAAGATAAAAATTACACATCACTTATTACACGTAATTTCTCGGACGGAGGCAGTAGTCTCAGACTTCGTAAGGCATTGTTATACAGAAGCTTATATCTGTAAGCTTCTGATCTCAACGTATGAAGGAGAATATAGATTTGATGAGAAGCTGCACTTATTGACATGTGTGTTAGTGAACAATAATATTTGTGCCGCTTACGCTCTCTTCTTGGAAAGCTATTGTGTTTTAGTAATATGTGAGTAAGATGCATTTACATGTTGCACTCGTGATGCGCTCGGGGGATTTTGTGACATTTAATTGAAAATATTCTTATCAATGTATCGGCTACGTTTTTCCAGCATGATGAGAGTCACAGTATAAATTAAGCGTGTAATTCTTTTATACTAGTAGTATGTTGTTTTGGCTACTGTGTTGGACATCTGGCACAATAAATAATTGAGATGTTTTTCCTCATGTTTCAGTAGAAGTCCCTCACCCAATCCCAATGGAGTTTCTGGTTACTCAGGGAATACCAGGTCCTCA